GAAAAAAAACAAAAGGATCCGCCCTGAAGAAATTCTAAGCGTGTATTCAATGGTTGCCCATCCTTGCAAATTCTTGCCCTTAGCCACCTCCGGTGAGCAAAGGAAAATCTTCCAAAAGACAGATTGGGAATCAGTAGAACTAGATTAGAAATGCAATGTCTTTGCTACTTTGGTCTTTTTTGTCCAGAGCATTGCAAAATGTGGTCCTGATCAAGGCAAATAAGGAAAGAAAAAGTGTCCAAGCAGCAATGCAACTCAGCAGGGAGCAAAATCAAACAGGCTTCATTCCATATGAGCTCGGGTCTAGGGGTATAGCCACCATGCTGGCCGCCAGCTCAAGTATCTCACTTGACTGAGATAACCAGGACCATGTTGCCTGGCTACCAGGACCATGTTGCTTGGTCACCAGATCCCCAGGGTTGGCTGAGCAGGCAGGGACCCTGCTACATGGATGCTTGAAAACCAACACTGCCCGAGCCCCCAGCCAACCCATCTCTGAGCCGTGTGTCCCACCAGGGCATGCCGGCTTCCTTTAAGAGCCACCTTAGACAAGAATCACCCTTCTTTTTTCTCTTAGTTTCTTCATCTGCGGAAGTAGGGTAACCAACCTACCACAGTCTGATATGGACACAACTGACAGGATCTTTAGAAAGATCTTTAGGTGCACGGTGCTGTATAAATGATAGGGGAGAGAGTGTGGAAATGTCCACTCAAATGGGGCCAACCTCCCTCACCGATCGCTTTTGTATCTGAAAAACTGTTCATGGGAGAATTCGAAATTGAACCATTCCGGGCTCAAACAAGCACAGAGTTCTTGGCCATTATTACAATGGCACTTAAGAATCAACACCATCCCTCGCAGTGTTTTCCAAAGTGGTCTGAACATTTCCCACGAGTAATTCCCTGATTTCAAAATTTTGGTTTTATCCCCAGTCAGGTCGGAATGTTAAAACTTCCATTTTTCCGCTCCTGAAATAAAAGATTCTCAGATGTTTCATTTCCATAAAGGTGCTGTTGAGTTTTTTCCTAAGAAGGCTTAAACATTTCATTTTAGCTTTCTTGTTTTCCTTATCAATTTCCTATTGAAATTTTAGACAAAATAGGAACATTCCACCTAAATATTTAGACTTTCTCACATACACATTTTTGATGCAAACATTCCTCTAAAGATTTTCACCCAAGTCTATTTTTATTAGCTTTCCTCGACTTGTCTAAACACAGTTGGTACATTTCTTGATCTTATCCAGGACACTGGACATTTCTTCAGACTTTAGATCTTTAAATTCCCTTCCCCCAAAAAACCAAATCAGACTGTTTACCTCTCTTTTGTCCTCTCTCAAGTTTTCTATTAGCCTGTTCTTTACAAAGGAAATAAAAAACCACAAAGACTCAAAATGGGCTTTGAGCTGTCTGTGATTATACCATGATCAATTCCTTTTGAATTGAATGGTCAGCAGTTACTTTGGGAGGTCTTTCATTCAATGATAAAAATGTCCCTTTGAATGCTCAGTTGCAGGAACTCAATGAGTACTGTAACTATTGCTGAAATTAGCTTCACAGCTCTACTGATTATTTTTACTTATCAAATATCCATTTTTATAGCTGGAGACAGTCAAAAAGATGAGAAACACTGTTCCCATCCGCCCGGAATTTTCACCTACAGCTGTTAGGTGCATTAAAATTCCATCTGTCATGTAAATAGGGTAACTTGATTTTTTTAGGCTCTCCATCCTATCCTTTCTCATTCTCTGAGAGAGGCAGGAAATATTCCTTGTGCAAATCACTTTATTTCCATCTACTTCAAAGCAGCTTTGCTGATCTGCGCCCCCGGGGTTGGGGAGGGATGTCTCAGTGGGATGCCAATTAGAAGACCCTGGAGTCAATTTCTCATGAATAGTCAACAATCAAGGCTCTTGGATCTAGCAGGAGAAAAGGTGGGAGTTTGAAAGGAATGAGAAAGAGGATAAAATTGAAAACATTTTATGAAATAGAGCCAGCATCGCATTGATCTGTTGGTCAATCTACCTACTGGCTTATCTGTCTTTCCATTGGTCCGTTTGTGTGTTCTCTGTGTTTCTGTTGGTCTGCCCTTGAGCCTTTCTCTCTGTTCCACACAATCTGGATTTTGGGGAGCAATTCCCTCCCACCCCATGAGACAGAGAATACAGAGAGGCCAGCCAATTCAGGTGGGGGTTTTGGAAGTAACCTAATCAGTCTCACACACAGAGAATGGGTAGTATAGTAATAGAAATGTAGCCGTGTTAGTCTGGTATAGCTGAAACAAAAAACAGGACTATGTAGCAGACTGTCGAGTGACTGTCTCGGAAGGAGTACAGCAGAAAGAGATCTAGGGGTTATCGTGGACCACAAGCTAAATAGGAGTCAACAGTGTGACGCTGTTGCAAAAAAAGCAAATTTGATTCTGGAGTAGGAGTCAACAGTGTGACGCTGTTGCAAAAAAAGCAAATTTGATCCTGGAGTGCATTTATGGGAGTGTTGTGAGCAAGACACGAGAAGTCATTCTTCCGCTCCGCTCTGCGCTCCTTAGGCCTCCGACAGAGGACTGTATCCGGCTCTGGGCATCACATTTCAAGAAAGATTTGGGGAAATTGGACAAGGTCCAGAAAAAAGCAACAAGAATGATTAAAGGTCTAGAGAACATGAGCGAGGAGGGAAGACAAAGAATGGGACTTTGTAGCCAGACAGGAACCCCCGCTTGTAACATCCATTTTTGCTTGCCTGGAGCATGCAGGGCACACAGAACAGAAGGCCCAGGCTGCTTTGACCGTGAATGGCTGTAAACAGAGATACGCCAATTGCTGACCAAGAGGCTGCCGAGGAGTGCCCTGGACTAAAACCCATATTGATACGAACACACAGCCATCCGCAGGGGGAGGAATCTCTTGCCCAGTAAAAAAATGTCCAATACTCACAATTTAGTTCTCTCTCTTGCAAGTGTAAATTAAGTTGAAACTCCCTTGTAAGAACTGGCGCCACAAAACGGACCAGATAAGAAAGAGGATACGGGTCCCCAGGGATATAAAGATGGGTCCAGCAGCACATTTACTCTGAGTGTCAATCTACCATCTATCTGCTGGTCGGGTTAGGTGTTTGACCTCCCAAGGTTCCATGGGGATGCCCATCTCGTATTCGTCTTTCCTAGGAGTTGAGGGACCGGCCCTGGCTTGACCCGCTGGAGTCGAGAGGCACAGAAGGGGGGATAAAAAGAGAGGCACAAAGGGGGTAAAAATTGTACCTGGATGTGGTCCTTTGTCTTAAGTGTACACATAGACTTAGAGCTCTTTAAAGATTAAGCTGTCACTTGGTACCATTATTTCTATTTTCTATCTTTATTTTCTTTGTAACCATTTTTAAGATCTATATTTGCTAGCAGTTAAGAAAGAGAGCAATAGCCATTGTAACTATATGCTTTTAAAAGTTTTTTTTTTAAATAAACCTGTAACTGTTGAAGCTTTAACCTGACACCTTCAGTTGCTGTAACAGAACCAAGCACAATTTAAAAGAACTTCAGCCGGTCATAAGGGACAGGTATAGGAGGAGCTTGGGCGTTTGGATCGTGTCACTCCAAGGTGACTGATCCGTTGGGGCATCTCTCAGTCTTCCCTAGACTGCCCGCTGCGAAGGGATCCTGTATCCTAGCAGCTAAAATCTGAGATGTAATAAGCTCTTCCTATAAACTCTGGGGCGTCTGTCAGCCTGTTGGCTGCCCTCCATGACGGGACCCCGGTTCTAGCAGTAAAATCACGGACGTTAAACCCTTTCTCAGCACACACACACACACACACACACACACACACACACACACACACACACACACACACTGCCCTGACTGTCGGCTGACAGACTTGTTTAGTTTCCAAAGGAGAAGACTGAGAGAGGATGTGACAGCGGTTTTCAAGTATCTAAAAGGGTTTCACAAGGAGGAGGGAGAAAAATTGTTCTCCTTGGCCTCTGAGGATAGAGCAAGAAGCAATGGGCTTAAACTGCCAGAAGGGAGATTTTGGTTGGACATTAGGAAAATCTTCCTAATTGTCCGGGTCGTTAAACACTGGAATAAATTGCCTAAGGAGGTTGTGGTATCTCCATCACTTGAGATACTGAAGAGCAGGTTGGCTAGACTTCTATCAGGGATGCTCTAGATGGTGCTTGGTCCATGAGGGCAGGGGACTGGACTTGACCTCTCGTGGTCTCTTCCAGTTCTAGGATTCTATGAACCTATGATTTAGTGTATCTTATACTTCCCTCCCTAGACCTCGCTCTTCCCAACTACCTGTTTGGCCTTGTCTGAGGAAAGTACTTTACTTTCCGCATATCAAGGTCTCACTCTACCCAACAATATTTTAACCCGTTCCTTGTCTTTTCTAACTGTGCAGTAGCCACACCGCGAGTAGGCCAAAGCAGCCCACGGTGTTTTCGTCCATCGTTTGCACATGGTAGGAAGACACAGCCATTTGGGTTTTATAGATGTTGAAACAAAAAAGGGAAAAAACAAAACAAAAATCTATTCCCAGGCAAATAAACGGGCTGCAAAGTTACATCATTATCAATTCCGAAGGCCACATTAGAACGTATAAGAACGTAAGGGTAGTCAGACTGGCTCAGATCAAAGGTTCATCCAGCCCAGTGTCCTGTCTGCCCACAGTGGCCTGTCTGCCCACAGTGGCCAATGCCAGATGCCCCAGAGGGAATGAATAGAGTTAAGAATCCTTATGTGATCTCTCATCTGTTGCCCATCTCCAGACAAACAAAGGCTAGAGACACCATCCCTACCCATCCTGGCTAATAAGCATTGATGGACCTAACCTCCATGCATTTATTTAGTTCTGTTTTGAACCCTATGAAAGTCTTGGACTTCCCAACATCCTGTGGCAAGGAGTTCCACAGATTGGTTCTGCACTGCGTGAAGAAATATTCTTTTTGTTTGTTTAAAACCTGCTGCCTATTAATTTTCCCTAGTCTATATTTATTGTCTCCCACAGATGAAATATGTTTCAGAAGTAAGAGAGGGGAACCTCACTACGGTGACGGAGTTCATTCTACAGGGATTACCCAACCATCCGGAGCTGGAAGTGCCTCTCTTCTTCATCTATCTGGTCATTTATATCCTTACGGTGCTGGGGAATATCCTCATCATTCTCATCACTATGGACCCAGCTCTCCACACCCCCATGTATTTCTTTCTCCGGGTCTTATCCTTCCTGGAGATCTGGTACATCTCGGTCACCATCCCCCAGATGCTGGTGAACTTCCTTTCAGAAGTCAAGAGCATTTCCTACATAGGATGCGCAGCCCAACTATTCTTCCTGTTCTTCTTTGGGATCTCCGAGTGCTTCCTTCTGGCCTGTATGGCCTACGACCGCTACGTGGCCATATGCCACCCGCTGAGGTACCACCACATCATGAACAGGAGGGTGTGCTTGGCCTTAACTGTTCTCTCCTGGATCTATGGTACCATCGTATCCCTTGTACAGACAATCTGGGTTTTCACCTTCCCCTTTTGTGGGTCCAACCAGATCAATTATTTCTTCTGTGACGTCACCCCGTTGATTACGCTGGCTTGCACGGATACCTCCTTATTCGAACTGCAGTTGTTTACGATTACCATGCTGTGCAACTTCATTCCATTTTGTCTCATTCTTCTTTCCTACATTGTTATTATCTCAACCATTTTCAAAATGGCCTCGGCTGAAGGCCGGCAGAAGGCCTTCTCTACCTGCTCCTCCCACCTCATTGTGGTGATGCTGTATTATGGCGCCAGTGGCCTGATCTATTTACGACCCAAGTCCACGACCTCTCTGGAGAGCAACAAAGTGATTGCTCTGCTGTACACAACTGTCACCCCCATTCTCAACCCCGTCATCTACAGCCTGAGGAACAAGGAGGTGAAAGGGGCGCTGTGGAGATTTTTTGGGGGTGGGCTGAAAAGAAACACTATTCTTTCCCAAAAAACAATCGGAGTCCAGATCTTGTTGTCAGATCAGTTGTCCAGCAGTCGAAATCCAGAGTAGGTCCTGTGACATCAACAGAATTCCGAGATGCGGGTGAAGGTGTGTCCCAAAAGTGCAAAATGAAATGCACCAAACTGTATACATACAATAGGATGGGGACTAATTTGGCTACAACTACTCAAGAGAGAGATCTTGAAGTCATGGTGGAGAGTTCTCGGAAAACATCCACTCCGTATGAAGCAGCAATCCAAAAAGCCAACTGAATGTTTGGAATTAGTAAAAGATGGATAAAAAGTAAGACAGAAAATATTTTATTGTTTCTGTATAAAATGATGGTACATCCACATCTTGATGTGGTTGCCTCAAAAAAGATCTCTTGGCATTAGAAAAGGTTTGGAAAAAGGGAACAAAAATGATGAGGTGTTTGGAATGGGTCCCATATGAGGAGAGATTAAAAAGATTGGGACTTTTCAGCTTAGAAAAGAGGAGAGGAAGGGCGGATATATGCTAGAGGTCTATAAAATCATGACTGGTGTTGAAAAAGTGAATAAGAAAAAGTTATTTACTTTTTCCCACAATATAAGAATGAACCAAATGAAATGAATAGGCAGCAGGTTTAAAACAAAGAAAAGGAAGGGTTTATCCATGCAGTACACAGTCAACCTGTGGAACTCCTTGCCAGAGGAGGTGGTGAAGACTGGCATTTTCACAGAGTTCAGAAAAGAGCTAGATATATTCCTGGAGGTTAGGTCCATCAATGGCTATTAGTAAGGCTGGGTAGGAATGGTGTCCCTAGCCTCTGTTTCTCAGGAAATGGATTACGGGGAGGGATTACGTGAGGATTCTTTATTGTGTTCCCTCCTTCTTGTGCACTTGGCATTGGCCACTGTCAGCAGACAGTACACTGGGCTGGATGGACCTCTGGTCTGACCGTTGTTGCGTTGAAAATGTTTGGTCCATTTTCAGTTAGGTGGAAATTAGAAATGAGGGCCAAAAGGCCTCTCAAACTTTCAGAAGTATTGCTCCAAAAAGTATGCAACTTTAAGTCCTTTAAGATGAACTTGCAATTGATTTTGTTTGTTCATTGCTACCCAAAATGGCATTGAGATTGTTTAAAAAAGGACGCTCCTTTTGGAAACGATGTCTGGAGGCCGTTAGCCCATCATCTGGAGAATGGTTTTGAATAAAATGTCACTGAAAATGGTAGAAAATGAAGGTTTTTTTAAATAAATGCATCGGTTCGTCTACGAGTCCACCCTTCTGTCTGTGAGTCCATTTGTTCAAGAACTCCTTCGCAATGGTAAGACACACCCAATTCAGTAGGCAGCACAGTCTGATCATAACTGAAAACCAAAAGCAGGGTTTGGTTGTGCCAGGACAATAGGATGGGCCCAGAATGCGACTAGTTTCCATAATAAGTAAAGGGAGGGGACTGAGAGTACGGACAGTAGTGTTCCATAATGACCAAACTTTCCTGATTTGTCGTAGCCAGATTAGCCCCCATCATACTGTACATATAGTTGGGGTTATTTTTCCCGATGTGCATTACTTTACATTTATCCACAATAAATTTCATTTGCCATTTTGTTGCCCAATCACTCAGTTTGGTGAGATCTTCTTGGAGTCCCTCACAGTCTGCTTCTGTCTTGACTATCCTAAACAGTTTTGTATCATCTGCAAACTTTACTACCTCACTGCTTACCCCTTTCTCCAGATCATTTATGAATAAGTTGAAAAGGATTGGTCCCAGGACTGACCCTTGGGGGACACCACTAGTTACCCCTCTCCAATCTGAAAATTTACCATTTATTCCTACCCTTTGTTTCCTGTCTTTTAGCCAGTTCTCAATCCAAGGAAGGACCTTCCCTCTTATCCCATGGCCATGTAATTTACACAAGAGCCTTTGGTGAGGGACCTTGTCAAAGGCTTTCTGAAAATCCAAGTATACTATATCTACTGGATCGCCCTTGTCCGCATGTTTGTTAACCCCTTCAAAGAACTCTAAAAGATTAATAAGACAGGATTTCCCTTTACAGAAACCATGTTGACTTTTGTCCAATAAATTATGCCCTTCTACATGCTTCACAATTTTATTCTTTACTATTGTTTCGACTAATTTGCCCGGTCCTGAAATTAGACTTACCGGTCTGTAATTGCCAGGATCGCCTCTAGAGCCCTTTTTAAATATTGGTGTCACGTTGGCTACCTTCCAGTCATTAGGTATGGAAGCCCATTTAAAGGATAGGTTACAAACTACAGATAATAGCTCAGCAATTTCCCATTTTAGTTCTTTTAGAACCCTTGGATGAATGCCATCCGGTCCCGGAGATTTGTTAACATTACGTTTTTCTATTTG